TATATATATATATAAACATATTAGAGTATGTTTTATTAAGTTATAAAAGTAGCCCTGGACATTATTCTGAAAATGCTAAACAATTTCCAGATCTAGTTTGATCATTAGTGAATTCCGAGTAGGTACAAATAGTAGTCAGGTTTTGGGGTACAGCGTTTTGTTCGTCATTAGATAAACTAGGAAATATGCACGCACGTTTGCACTAGTCGTTGCCCTACAACTGTCATTTGTACTAAGCATGGATCTCCCTGGACTTTCTACGCCGATACTTTGTGTAATAGAACCATGTGTGTCCTTTATCTTGACAAATAACTCTTTAGTCTTGCTGTCAGATTCATCACTTGCTAGTTCTACTGTTTTCACCAAAGGGGGTTTCTCCGGCAGATGTTGGTTCAATTCTGTTGGCGAGTTATTCTCACTGCAGCTGCTGCTGCTGTTACTGTAGCAAATCGGAAGTGACAGAGACTGGCAGTTTCGGGATATGGAAGAACACTGCAGCTGTCCGGCCTCTGGTAGGGAGCTCATTTCGTTTCTAGTAGTTCTTCAAATTTTGGGTGAAATGAATTGTACTACGGTGAACAATTGGTCACGATGATAATGGTTAACTCCACACTTAATCATGTTTGACCTATAAAAATAATAATAATAATACTAATGCGTGAAGAGATTCAGTGGTGTTGAACATATATCTTGAAAGTTATGTGAATGAGAATATAAAATTTAATGAACAACTTAAACTATCTTAAAAAATTTTACGTTTAACACCAGACCATAAACTGAAAATTCATGAGCGATGAAAGAAATAAAAAACAAAGAAAAATATAAGTGAAAAACTTTCTTCAGAACTCATATTCTGAAAATATAAAATTTGTTTGTTTGTTTTTAATTATGCACAAAGCTACACAATGGCTATCTGTGCTCTGCCCACCACGGGTATCGAAACCCGGTTTCTAGCATTGTAAGTCCGCAGACATACCGCTGTGCCACTGGGGTGGGGGCAAAATATAAAATAACAAAACTCACCGAACTAGTATATATATACAATAAAAGTATGCAAAGATTTCAATGGAAAACCAGAAAATAAAATAAAAACATTTTAGTTAATACATATACAATATTGAGCACTGTAATTCACAAAGAAAAAAATTAACAAATATTTCAAACTTTCATTTCTACGCTGCTCCGAAAAGCCTCGCCTGTAAATAGCTTTACTTGCTGATTTTGTTTAGAACTTTTTCTGCCCATCTCAAAGCATAGATTTATATTTGCTCAAAAATTATGATTTACGTGGTTTTCTTTCTCTGCATTTATACAACATGCTTTCGTTCCCACCATTGTTATGAATTTCGCGCAAAGCTACACGAGGGCTATCTGCGCTAGCCGCCCCTAGACTAGAGAGAAGACAGCTAGTCATCACCACCCACCGCCAACTCTTGGGCTACTCTTTTACCAACGAATAGTGGGATTGACCGTAAGATTATAACGTCCCGACGGCTGAAAGGCCGAGCATGTTTGGCGTGGCGGGAATTCGAACCCGCGACGCATAGATTGCGAGTCGAGCGCCCTTACCACCTGGCCATGCAGGGCCAACCACCATTTTATGGTGTCACAGCATGTGATCTGAACAACAACCAATAATGTTCAGTTGTGAAACTAGCTAAACGCAAAGGTTAGATACCATTTGCTAGAGCAGATTATAAACTATTTATGTTAATATAAAGTAAATAAAATTATGTAAGGAGCTTTATGTTTAACAACAAATAAACAATATAAACAAAATCCAGCTTGAAACCTAGCTATACCAGATATTTTCATTTTTAAGCCTGACTGATCATCGCTAAAACTGGGTTTCGATACCTGTGGTGGGCAAAACACAAATAGCTCACTGTGGTTACAAGCCTTCAATGTTACCGCTGAACCACGTGGGGGGGGGGGGGGTTGGATTGTAGCACTTGAGTGAATTCTGCGTGAAAGAAAAATAAGAGGAAAGAAAACATGTTACTTGTATAAAAGGTGTTATATATGTATATTTTACATAACATGAGATTGATAAACGTAATTTAAAATATATGATATCATCTTTCATTAGTTGCACCAATTATGTCCAAATTGGTGCAAGTAAACATAATTATTTAGTAACTTTTTTTACTGTTTGAAAGATGCGTCAATAACCCATGAAAAGGTTTCGTAGTTTTCTTTATTTTTGATGTTTATATACCATTACTACAAAGACTTGACAAGTATATACTGCCTTTAATTTACAAAAACTTTAGTATCAAAATATAACAGTCATGTATAATAAATAACGTAGTTTTTCAATGACATTGATATCACTGTATTGTTAATTTTGTTTTAATGAAAAACCAAACGTTTATTTGGGGTAGCATGATTATAGTCCGCTATTATACATTATAAAGTCTAACGTAATTTTAATTAATCGTAGAATATTGTTAGAAGAAGCGTTATTAGAGTGATACTACAGCGTAATAAATAGGACTTATCAGATAACGCCACAGAAGCTTTTGTATAAATAATCTGTAATGATGTAGATTTATTACACGCATTCTCTAAAAACATAAAACACACGTCTACAGCTAAAACCAAAGCGTTGAAATATGGCAAGGGCTTTCTGGAGACGTGAGATTATGGAATAAGGAAATGCTGTTAATTTTGTGTGAATCCTGTTGTTTATAATCTGCAGAGCGATAAATATCGTGTATACAGTCCTCGCCTCACGCTGTTGTATTAAACATGGATTTTAAACCAATAGTAGCTTCATTATTCTTAGTCTATTCTCACTCTTGTGGAGAATATAAATATGATGATTTACATAATTACACTGCAAACTTAAATTTAGAACCAAGCAGCATCAATTACAAAATCAAATCAAACAGTTTTTGTTTTGTAGAATCGTTGAATATTTAGATATTTCGACAAAGAGAGGTTTCTTTGTTCTCGTGTTAAGAATGAGTATATTTTCACAGAAGGTAAGGTTTTAGCGATTTCTTTTAGAGTTCTCGAATACTTTTGAGATTGCAAAGTTCATGTCATAGATCGATCAGTTAGCATATATATGAAAAACTGAGGTTAAAAACATTCAAAATGAGATTTTCAATGCAAAATTAGACGTATGAGTACATTATTGATTTGACATATGAATAGACTATTCTTATACATGATAAGGTGATGAAAGAAAGTTGATATGATACGAAACCTTTAACTCTGATGATGACAGGTTCATTGGTCTAAAGTTATAGGGTTTGTCATTTTTAATAGTATGTTTTTACTGTACGCAAATAAAACAGCTCCTATGTCTAACCTTCTGTGTATAAAGGTTTTATTCATTGTATTTGAAGAATTTCGTCTTTAATACTTTACTTCTAGAAAGTATTCCCATGTATAGTAAATGACTTTAGCATTTATCCACTGAGAATCTGACTGAAATAAAACAACTCATTTTATGATTTATAGGAGATGGATTGTTGATGCTAAATATTTCTTTAGCGTGTTACAGTAATGAAATGAGGGCCAAGTCAAAAATATGAATGGAAGATTGGCAATTAGTACTGTTAACTTTTCAGTGTTCTTCCTTGAACTTTCTCGAATTTTCGTTACTTGATGATTCCAGTTTAATATTAACTTTGTTTTCACCGCCTAGTATTTTCATCACCTGATAATATTTAGTTAACACTGGCGAAATGAATGCGCTAGCTAATATTAATATGCCTATAATTACAAACATTGTGAAAAACATTTGAAATTATGCATTATCGTATCCACTAAAAAAACTATGTTCGTCTATTGAAATTCTAATGTTTATTTAATGTAAAGAACGAATTTGTATTTAACATCGTGCCCCCCAGTGGCACAGCGGTATGTCTGCGGACTTACAACGCTAGAATCCGGGTTTCGAGACCCGTGGTGGGCAGAGCACAGATAGCCCATTGTGTAGCTTTGTGCTTAATTACAAAACAAACAAACAATTTAACATCGTAATGTTTATGAACTTAGAGAAGCAGCCCAAGCTACCAAATATCAACTGTTTACTTTGTTATACTTTGATATCATTCGTAGCAACAGGAACCCCTGTTGACAGTAAAAAAATATATACACGAAAGATTTACTTCAAACTTTTTGATTGAAAACCATTTATACTCTTCGGAATAAAAAAAAATAGTAAATATACAAGAAGCATTGTCACAAGGAGAAAGAACTTCGCCTCTTTTACAACTTGCATATCTGAATAGGTAACGAACTTTTTGAGTTTCATACAGTTACGTGTAATACTTTCAACAACTCTCAGACTGAGTTTATCACAGTTTTTGGCAGAATCATTTCAGAGAGCGTTTCGTTAGACGTCGTAAAGTGATTCCCCATTTAATAGTTGGTAAATAGGTAGGAGTCAGTTTCTGACATTTCCAAACAAAGTTGAAGCATAAGTATAACCCATTTGTCTAAAATAGGTTGAAATATTGCACGTAATTGTCAAATTTAGGCATTCAGTGAGTTAATAAACTTTATATCTAGGTCTGTATGCTAATGTTAGTAAAAAAAAATACTTAAGATAAGAAATGGTTTAATAAAACACATAAAAAACTGGTTGAAACCCTAGAGCTTTCGACAGATCGATCTGTCTTCATGCGGTTTCTAACTTTTCAAGAAGATGCAAAATACAATATATTGAGAGTGAAATAATTTTTTGAAGAACATAGCCAGGATGTTCCTTCAGTTCATCAGGCAGTAGGGCTAGAACAACATAAATACGTTCAAAGGCAATGCAGGTGTAAACGTGAGATTAAAACACCTGCTTTGAGTAATCCGGAGATTACGACAGAAGAATATTGAACGTTTTTGCTAACATTACACATTGTGACGTAGAACAACTCATACACCATCGACTGTGGCGCTCTACATCGTTAAAGACACTAACTATTTGCTTATCCTTTTTTCTCCTACCTAACGAATCTTTCGTTTTTACCAGTCATTTGAAATCATTGTTTGTTTGTAATTAAGCACAAAGCTACACAATGGGCTATCTGTGCTCTTCCCACCACGGGTATGGAATGGAAACCAGGATTCTAGCGTTGTAAGTCCGCAGACATACCGCTGTGCCACTGGGGGGCATTGAAATCATAACAGTTAAAGTTACAACTGGATTTGTGCTTACGTTCCAAATGAATACTGAAATTAAATAAACTTGATATGAACTGCGTTTTATCGTTTCTTATAAATAACATTATTGTAATTATTTAACCTAACTTGTTTTGGTACCGAGGGTATATGTATATTTGGTGTGTTCAGTTCACTGAAAACTCAGTTCGCTAAATCTGTTCCGTAATCTGGGTAACGGAATACGAGTTTTCTTATAGCGACCAGCAGCAAAGTTGATAACACATAAAAAATTGGCTTTGTTTAAAAAAAATCAAAATCCGCTGTCCAGATCATATGGGGACATAAATATTTTGTACATTTTGGCACAATTGCGGAAACGTTCTGTAATTCATATAAATATTCAAAATGTGTCTTAAAATTAAACGTGGTAGCCCGATGTTTGCTAACAATTAGCAAATATTCTAAATAAATTAACGAACTATTGAGGAAGAGAAACATATAGAACATGTAGTTAAG